GCTGAGCGACAATCCCAGTACCCTCACTATTCCTTAAAACATTTAATGCGAAAAAAGGATTAATGGCAGCAACGACAAAGCTTCTATAACGTTAACATCATTAACTCTTCCTGTTCTTTGAACCCCCCCTCCCCGTCCCCGGAAAAAAAATGAAACAATTGCCGAGAAAAGGAACGTTCCCTTTTCCCGGTAATCAAAAAGAAAAAAATAAAAAGTTGTGACAGGAGAAAATCTTGAGAGTCTGCCGTTTTCTACAGCATATTTCTCATAGCGCATCAAAGCAATAATGTAATCATCCAAAAAATGTTAATATTGCTACCAACTGCTGAAAACCATTGCCTTCTTTCCAGGAACACCATTCTGGCCCAAAAAATGAACTCAAAAAACCTCACTAAAACGTCGTCAATTAATCTACGAAAAAATACCTTATTAACGCAAAAGTCTGCGAAACAGAAGCAGAAGCAAAAGCCAAGAAAAAAAGAAAATTTTAAAAATAAACTGGAAATGACCACCTGTTTGACAAGTTTAAATAGGAACTATTTCAACAACAACTCAGAATAATCTCAAGATGAAAAGTGAATTATATATGAAGACAATGAATCAGCTGAAACTCAGCATAAAGAAAGAAAACACACAACAACAAAAAAATGTTAGAGTTGGAACTACCGGTCAGCTATTACGGTGTTACCCCAATCATCTAACTGACTAAAAGAAATAACCGACATACAAAATTAAAAAAGCAAAAAAGATGCAGGAAAATAAGCGTCTATTTACGGTGCCTAATTAAATAGAAAAGAAAATTTAAATAATTACGAAATACTTTAATGGAATAATCCAAAAGTCACTTACCCTGTAACCCTAATTTCCGTATATATTTAACAACAGGTTTACATATCGACTCCGTGACCATTCTTACTCTTCAAACACCAACACTGTTATTAAGACATTAATATTCACGCTAGAGACAGACAACCCATGCAAAAAAATTGCCAAGTGGAGACACATGCAAATGGACAACGGTTTAAACAATAATGATAACAATTAATCCATGCTCCAGAAACGGCGAGCAGATGAATCTGACCTGACTTACGACAGTCTCTTCCGTTCTTCCAATTGCATCAAGCCAACCTTGACGAAGCACCAAAGGCCTCTTAGGAATTCGATAAAAATGACGATTATCCTCCTGCCCTCGGTAACGAGAACGAAATTTACAATTTGGAAAACCGCAAGTTGTTGGCATCAGGTTGCGCTTGCAAGAATGCAGCGCTCAATTTGCAGCTAAAACGGCATAAAAGAAAATAAAAGACATGTAAATCAAGTGCGATATTGGGAAAAAAACCCATAAAGTTAAAAGCATGATTTGTGATGGCTACCTCAACTAACCTAAAAACACAAAATCTTAAAAATTGTTGCTTAAATCCTATATCAACTAAATTTGACCTTTAATTTTTTTGCTAAGCAGCTAAAAAAAACAGGACAGATATATACA